TCACTGCAAATGCTGCTGATGTAATTCTCTTTGAAGTGAGCAGCAAAACTCCTTTGGAGGTTAATGAGAACAGGATCAGGCCCTCCATACTGAACTTGCACTGAGAGCAGATAAGATCTTGAATCGTTCAGAGCCAAGCATGTTATTTGTGCAACATGGGCAGGCTGAGTCAATCTCTGAATATTTTTAATGGGTGTCAACGTGAAGTGTTAATTCCACAGGTTATGTTGTTTTGCAGTTTGCCTGTGCCTGCTCTCACCAATGGTACACATTCTCTCACTGGTTGCAAAGAAAAAGCTATTTCCAGAACTGCTGCAAGAAAAAACACTTCTGAGAAAGTATAAAATGGGACTTTTACAAAGAACTGGAAAAACAAATGATTGTAGAAATACCTGCTAGACATTCAGAATGTTGGCATTCACAGAAGTAGTCCCGTTTCAAATAGACATTACAACTTTTTTTTTTGTTTTTAAAAGGGACCCTAAAATCAAAACAAGTATTCTGTAACTGATCATTTTTGAGAAACTGATCTTGATCTCTTTTTTTTTGACAAAACAGAGGAGTGAAATACTGAAGTCACAGATGCTCAGATAAAGTCTGCCCCTGGATAGTACCCATATACTCTCAATAAACAAGATCAGAAAAACAATGAGAATATTTTGAAGCTTGATGGAATGAACTCAGCACTATGAGCAGCTTCTGAATGAGAAATCTTTATTTTTTACTTCCCCTTTTTCTGTTTGCAGGATCTCCATGCACTTCCTAATGCATCTTGAAGCCAAGATGAAATTACAGCCCTCCTGAGGCCAACGGGAAGCTTTGCCTTCAGCAGAACTGGAATTTTACTCTAACTGTAAAGATGTCTTAAGAAACACTGGGCCCAACTGCCTGCTTCTGTTGAAAAAGTCAGCTGGAAACATAGCAAAAGCTACCACACAATTTCCTATTCGTTCTCCCCTGAGGGGAGATTTTTAATCTTGGAGTAGAAAACAGGATCCAGGGAAACACGGCAGAAACCCTGTGGTTGGCATCTAGAGAGAGGTGGTTCTGGCTGGCCTCCTCACCTTGCCCTGCACCCCAGCCCACCACCACACACAGCCCCAGTTTTACAGCCCACTCTGCTTGACCCTCTTCTGTGAAGCAACGAAGAGGGCATTCCCTTGTGACTCAGAAACACTCAGACCAAAAGCTGTTTCCCTACCTCCATCTTCTGTGGCCCTGGGACACGTGCTGGAAAACCTCCCCATGGTTTCTGCACGTCCTGGGAAGTCATCCCCTTCCTGCATCTGAGTTACGGTGGCCTTCAGCTACCCTTGGTAGGAGAGACACCAATCCTGCATGACCATAGTTCCCAGCTCATCATCTCAAATCTGACCCATGCAGACAATCATCTCCTACTGCCTTTCCCCCAGCAGTCCCACCTCCTGCTCCTGCCTTTCTGACCTCTCCTTGCCTGCACATGACAGCCCCCTGCCTTACCAGACCCCCATTTTCATCTCTCTCCCCTCATGTCCTCAGCACAATGCCAAGGGTCCCAGGTCCAGCAGCATTCATCACAGTGGTTGCCCTTTGTTGCCACATACGGGCATAGGGCTTGTACTACTCCACTCAGATCTGCAAATATTTGCCTTTGTGCCAGGAAGCAGAGGCTGTGCTCAGACACCATGTTAAAGCCATCCGAGTTGCAGCTCCTAACTGGAACCAGTCAGAACTCATTTTCTTGCCTTTGCAGCTGAGCACCATTTGCTTCTTTTAATTTTATTGACAGTGAAGTGCCCAACCCTACAAAATACTGACCCCTTGTGCAGGTTGCAAAATTTCTTTCACTTCCCTCAGAATTAGAGATTTTTTTTAATTAAGCAGTAAATAAATAAAACTGCTTGCAGTTTTTTAACAGAGGTCTTCATGCTAAGGAGCAACTAATTCTCCTCTGTTCACAAAACAGTAAAGTGAAGCTTTCACCACAATAGACAAAGAAGTACTGAAAAGCTAACAAGCACCATAGCAAAATCTGTGGTGACCTGGTTATCCTGCTATTCTTTTTTTATTTATGTATTTTAAGAAGCCCACCTTGAGGTTTTGTGCTGGCTTTTTTTTTATCATTTTATTTCTTCTTCAGATGCATTAGATTTAGATGCATATTAGTAGGCTATAAATGAAACAGTCATTTTTGCTGAAGGCAATCATGAAGATGTGATTTGCAACCTTTTCTTCCCAATAGAAGATCCTTATTTGCCCACCTTATATGCTCAGTATTATCCTTTGGGATAGTATATGTGCTTGTATTTAACAGTAAAACATCATGATTAATGAAGCTGTCAAACACGTTGAGACTAAGTCACTTCCCCATTAGGACAGCAATGATTTTGTGATGAACATGGTATATATGGCACAGGGAGTACTCAAGAATAAACTGGGATGTGAATGAGTTACATCCTGGCAATGGCTGGAGCAAGGCAACTTCCAGAGAAGTTACCGCGAAGGCAAGGAGAAGCGAGCAGCAGAACAGGAGCAGCAGAAGGTCAGCCAAGGATGCTGTAATGGCACATACTGCCCATAACTTCCTCCACCAAAGGCAAGGATTAAGAGCAGCCAGGATAGCCTCCACCCTAGGTAGGTGGGGGAAAACCAAAAGAGCCAGCACATCACTTGGGCAGCCAGGAAAATGAGCCAATTCAGCATAGCCCCAGCAGTGCTGCTGCCAGGAGGACATTCACAGAGTTCCCAGAGAAATGAGAGCATTACCTCTGAGGGAGGGTGACAGCCCAGTGGCAAATGCAGCAGCAACCATTGAACTGGTGGTGGGCAAGCTGCTGGGGGAGTGGGGGGATGCCAGGCTCTTGTCTTGCTCAGACTGCACACTCCTGTGGCTAGCAGTCCTGTCCTTAACTTGTGAAGTTCTCTGAGTGTGGTAGGGGAGGTCAAACAAGTTACCGGTAACACAGCAATAGTAGTTAACCTAAACAAGACAAGATGTAAGTCATACAGCACTGGTGAGTCATTACTTAAATACAGCAACAAGACTAGCACTGAGTCACAGGATGTAAAACAGTTACAAAAGATCTGAATTATACAAACAAGTATGCAACAAAACAGCATCAAGACATCCCACCAGAGAGATACAGCCCACTTCCATTTTTCTTGTGATCTTTGTCATCAAACTACCACATGATAAATTACTTAAAAATAATTTGTGCTGTAGTAAGTAATTCATATTAGCCAAGTTATACTAGAACTACACAAAATAAATACACACAAAAATATTGTTCTCCCTCACCCAAAGGGATCCTGGTGATACCATACGGTGGACAAGTTCTATCTACTGTGCTGCACTATCGACATATGGTAGCCTTATATTTTAGCCTAGGGTAACACCTTATTAAACATTGCATACAATGTTTAATTAAACAATGCAACTATGAAAACAAAACAAGAAACCACCAGCTAATTGCAAATAAAAGCCTGTCTCTTCAGTATTTCTGATGAAGTTATTTCCAAGATAGTCCACCAAAAATACTTCACATGGTGGATGACACAAGTCTCCCAATGCAGCATGTTTACATCAGCTTAATGGTTATTGTGAAGTTTCCACCTTAGTGCAGTTCAATCATGTCCAACACTTTTACATACTGCAACAAAACCTTGGGATACTGGGAAGAGGCAAGGCTTGTGGGGGTCTCCACCCAGCAGCATTTCATGCGAGGTCCTTGGCTGAATGTGGGTTTTCATTAAGTGTTGTCTGAGTAGAAGACTAAAGTTTATTTGCTCAACCTCAAGATAAGCAACTTAATGCTGTTGATTTGAATGCAAACAAGGGCAAGACCTCATGCCTGAAAGACTCTCTGATGTGGTTACACTGGAAGTTTAGACTAAACATAAGCTGAGATCTGAAACACAGTTGCCATGAGTTACAAAATCAACATGTTTTCTTAAAGTATTTATTTCAAAAGAATTGTCTACAACTGAACTATCAAAGTGGTATTGCTTTTATCTGGAAAATGCTGCACTTGCAAGTATATATTGCTTATTAAGGCCTGTTTTGCCAATTCACTGGAATTTCTCCCATATGACAGAAATGCTTGTCCATTTAGTCACCTCAAATGACTAAGTAAAGGTGTAGAGTACATTTCAGTTGGCAAGTAAATACAAATATGTTTTTCTTTTTTCCTTATATGGCATAGTGTTACCTAGTCTGGTTTAACAGTGTCACTGGGCTACTCTCAAATGAATATGGGGCTCATAATGCCTGCAATGTGTCCAGGACTCATCCTGGCATGTTTACTTTGTCCTCAAGCAGCTATTATTTCATGTCTTAAAATGCCTGGAAACTTCTAAACACTAACCTGTGAAAAGCAAAACCTCAGCATTAAGTCATCAAGCCTTGCTTCCTAAAGCCTCTAACCCATTTTTAAAATTATGGTACTACTTTTTCAGAGCTGATCAGGAGCTTCAGAACAAAGCATTTCTCAGGTGACACTTCTGTAAACACAGAGGCAGCAAGGGGTTCAGTCAAAGCAAGAAAAACAAAGTTCCCTTTCTCCATATGAGCGTGAATCATTATTGCCTAAGCCTTTCAGTTCAACTGATGAACAGAAAGAAGAGATTTACAAATACAAGAAACTCCTGCAGCTATGGGCCCAAGAGCAACCCTCACTTCTAATAGGACTAAACAGATGAAAGACTCGTATTTTTTAAACAACATCTTAATTCAGAATCTATACGACCCATTCACTCTAAGTTTGCATAACATACAGCGCTATGATGCTCTTGGTTCAACAAGTGCAAATGACTAAGAGAAATCTGAGAGACTCAAAAAGGGGGTGAACTGATACTCAGAACTGATTTTGCACAGTATTGCCACGCAGTCCTGTACTGCTATCATTGGAAACATCAAACATAACGCAATTCCAGTGTTTGAGCACTAGAGGGTCAATTCGTGATGAAAACACATTACCTCAGTTTCCTTATTTTTATAGGTAAACATTTAACTTCTTACTCACCACCTCTTCAGCTGTCATGAGTTTTGGAAGCCCAAGCTCCTTCTGAGGCCATGTAGCACTGGGATGGAGGAGTCAGTCACACAAATGCAAACGTTTTGCGAGAGTACCCTTAATAGCTTTAAACTATGTGCACCACATCAAACCCACAATTACTTTCTCTGGTCAGCTACAGGGTGAACACCTTTACAGAAGGTTCTCCCTGTTGGTCTAGTTGTCTCTTGTAACTGTGAGCAGCAAAGGACTGATGAGGTACTAGCCCATAGCCCACTTTGAAAAATACTCATCCTATACATATACAGCAGCCTCTTCTTTTGCCTAATTATCACCCCTTTGAATAACACACAAAAAAAAAAAGCAAATACTGTCCGTTTAAATGAAAGGGATCTTCAGCACCATCTGTAATTGTACCCCTGACCAACAAGCAGCACTGGGATGGCAGCAGAAGGCTGGGCATCATCCAGAGGGCAGAATTCAGGCCTGCTAGATTGCAGCTTTGCCACTCAAGTAAAAAGAAACACAACACGTATACAAGTATATGCATACACCAGAACTCTGGGGCATTACTATATAAACAAACCAGAAATCTTTTTTCCTTACCAATAGGATTTGTTATGGAAATGGCATATCATTTCATTCCAATACCACAAATTTGCCACTAAAGAGCATTACTGCTACTGACAGATGACCAGTAAATCAACATCCCCAGCTCTCCAGGATACAGCCTTCTTCAGGGGAATGGTGACTCTGAGTGCCCCTTCATTTCAGGCTATAAATATATCCCATGAGAGAAAGCAAAACTGTTGACTGAGGAATGCCTTAACAAGTACTTCCAGCCCGACCAACTTTGTTATACCACAGTTTCATTCCTACATTATCCTTCTTTTTAGGGACAAGAGAACTGGGCAATGCTGCTTCTTTGTATACCAGCGCTACCTTCTCTGGTAAACATGGCACATCAGTTACATAGACTGTGTTGTAAAAAATCCTATCTAAATTCCCTGGAGCAATGAATAGATTTGTTTTCAACACTGAGTAAAATATTACTGATGACTGCAATATACCCATGCAAAAGACACCTTTGTACCATATTGAGTCTCATGTACCATTACGTGTTGAGAAACAGAAGTATAAAAAAGTAGATAAGCACCACAGCATTCAGCAATGACTGTGACCTTTGCAAATTACTTTTGTGAAAGTTCACAAAAATTAGCAAACAAAAAAGCAAGCAGTTCTTCTTTTAAGTGATTTTTAAATGAACCTATTGTGCTCTCCAGTGTATTTATGAAAATAACGAAGATTGAACATGGAGCTTCAGCTGCCATCTATGAAAAAAAATTCCAAAGAACTAAAGGGGATCCATATCTGCTTCAAATCACGAACTGCAAATACTAACATCTTACTTCATGTAGAAATGACAATTCCATTATTCCTCTTTGAAATTTTTTAAAAATTGGTCCTCTCATCCTTACCATAATAAAATCTCTCATTAGAAATAAATGTGCTCTCCTGTGCATACATAAACCACATACATTCAGCTGCAAAGAAACAGATCAGTCAAAACAACTCAAACATAATTGTGTACTGGCCAAAAAGAATTCCACTGCAACTGAAATTGAATGGCTTGTACTTCAGGTCATTAGCTGAGTGTTGACCAGTACAATTTTAAATGCTAAAATATCGCCCCCCAAAAGGAAGGGGGTATAGCAAGAACTGAGAAAAATGTTCCAAATATCTGAGATAGCAGGAACTACATTTATGTAAAACATATTAAAAATTAACGAAAAACAACCCAAATCCTCATCTCACCTCATTAATTTTGTTGACCTTCCCTCATTTTTCTGTGGCTGTTTATGCATCACGATTTGAAAAAAGTAAATGAGCCAAAAACATTTACATCTCCCTCTAGATCTAGAGTGAAACACTGCATTAGCCTGTAACACTAGAAAACAGAAATCAAGCCTCATAATTAGCCAGTCTTTCCCAACAAAGCCATGCTTGCAGAATGGCACTTGAAACAATGCATCAGGGGGAAGAAAAATAAAAAGGAGGAGAAAAAAAAAAAAAAGAAAAGACATGTTGTGCTGAAAGCTTTAAGAATGTGTGTACTTCCCATAAAGCTGAAATGTTTCCATGAACATACCATTTAACTCTGGATTAACCAAACATTCCAAATTCAGAGAAACCAAACTATTTTACTCATTAAAATACTCTGACAATATTACAACATAGTCTAAGTGTCATTTTGAGCAGCAAGTAAATCCTTTTTTTATTTCATTTTAACATGAACGCGAGAAGAAAGGCTAAGTTGGGAGAACCCTTTTCTTTAACAAAAAGATAAAAAAAGAAAAAGAACTGGCAAGCTTCTTTCTTCTGCCATATAGCAGATCTCTTCTTGGATTTCACACCACTGACCATACCCTGTCAGAGATCTTGAACAGTTTACATTACTTCTTTTGAAGGATTAATCTAGACCGGCCCAGAGATAAAAACCCAAATGCACAATGAATTCCTACACTGAATTCCAGCTTGTTACTGTGAACTCAACATAAGAAAAAAGGAATCCCACACATCCTGTAATATATACACTGATTTCACAGAGGATGTGAGTTAGTCAGAGGAATACGTAAAGTGACAAGACAGTTTTTTACAAAACCTCAATTTATTTCAGAGAAATTAAAAATATGGTATTTAATATATATAAATTTCTATTCCTCTATAAATATAGATGATCTTGTGATAATGAACAGAAATAAATGCATACCAAATTCAAATAATTTTGCATTTCAGGGTATGGTAGCCATAGATAATGTTTATGAACCTAAATACAGGCATTTGTAATATAAAAAAAGTTTAAAACAATACAATCAGGAAAGAAGCATTCTGCTGTTTTTCATACAGAGGACTAAATACTCAAATGCATCTGTTGAAAGTTACAATTTCATTTTTAACCTTTTTTTTTTCCTTTGTATTAAGGAGCACAATCCCACACACCCAAGAGCATACAAGGCAGTAGATATACTGCACACACAGTATCTTATCTTTGCAGTATGCACTGTTATTACTGTACCAAAAAAAAAGTGGCGGGAGGGAAGACAGCAGAGGCTCTTTAAGGTCTCACATCCCACCAGCATGCTTAAAACATTCTGGTTTGCTGTTTTCCCTTTGTTTTTACTACTGGCAAAAATCATCACACCCTCACAGAGTGTAATGAATTAAATGCCACTGAATTAAAATTCAGGGGAATGGCAACGGCTCCAATGCTTCCCAAATGAAGAGCCAGCGTATGGATATAATTAAATGCGGGGACGGGGAGGGGGGGGGGATAAAGGGGGGGAGGGGTGAAGAGAAGAATCTGAACGTTGCATTTTATTCCGTTGAAGCTCTTTTTTCACCCAGCCCGTATTTCGTGATCCTAAGTCCGGCCAACAGCAGCCCGGCGGGGACGGGAGGCGCTGGGAGCACCCGCAGGGAGGCAGGGCAAGCACCGGCCGCGGCCCAGCTCCGCCAACCCCACTACGGCCTTGTGACCGAAAAGGGGGCTTAAAAATACAAAACCCAACACAAAACACCACAGAAGTGGAAAGTTCGGTACATCCATGTCCCCATACACCTCCTAAGCCATCAGGCATGCTACAGGTGCAGACGGTGTTAAACCTCAACTCTTAACGGCGGCACAGGCCAACTCCTCTCAAACTACGTGGTGCGTTTACATAAATCTCACCGAATTGTTAGAGGGCAGCTGGCGATCAATGCCCCCCGCCCCGGGCACTACGGGGAGGCCGCCGCTGCGGGCACACCTCCGGGCAGGGCTTCTATCTTCCCTCCTTCCAAAAGCTCCTGCCCGGGTCAGCGGGGCTCGGTCCCGCCGCGGCCAGCCGAGGAAAGGTGAAGGGAAGCACCGTCCCCACGCCGGCTCCGTTCCCCCCGACACAGGGCCGGGCGGGAAGCGGCGGTCCCTCAGCACCACCTCCGCCGCCACACACCTCAGGCAGGCCGGGCCCGCGGCCTGGACCCAGTCCGCGGCAGGCGGCGCCCCCGGCTGCAGTTTCGGGCCGGTCCCTGCTGCCGCTCATGCAACTCCGAGCAAAGCCATTACAAAACCTGCCGGTGTGGGGGGAAAAAAAAGGGGTGTTTTGGTTTCTCTTACCGGCAGTTCTTCTCATCCTGCATAACGAAATAAAAACCCAACGCCTTCTTTTAAATAAAAAAAGGGGGCAGACGGGGGCAAGGAAGCAAAATCCGCAAACAGGTTAAAAGTGTCCTAAATAATTAAAAAAAAAAAAGCGAGATTTTTGTAATTTAAATACAAATATACTTACAAAATCTTACAGAGGCTATTTACATCCCTCTCCCCCAACCTGACAGTGCGTTCACTTCCTATAGGAGACTGCCTGAGCAGAGCCGGGAGGGCAAAGCCCAGCGGCCCCAAACATGGGGCCTTCCCCAAAGTTTGCCCAGGCTGGCTAAGGAGCCGCTTCCCAGGGCAGAGCCCCGGTCCTCCAGCCGGCTTCCCGCCTGCCATCCCCCCATCACGGCAAGCAGTGGTCTCAGACGGTGGTCTCGCCCTGCTTGCTGTTGGTGAGCCTTGTGTAAAACTTCCTCCAGGAGTTCAGTGTTTTCCCGGACCAGATCCAGAAGCCCGAGGTGATGCCCACGATTAAGGTCATGAGATACTTGATCATAAAGACAGTGAAGTCGGGGCTCATGGGTGGGTGGTGGCTGCTGTGGTTGTTGGGGCAGGGGATGGCATAGCTCTTGCAGCTCTGCGTGACCCAGCTCCTCTCCCACTGTTCCCTAAAAGCTTGCTCGTAAAAATAGCAGGCAATGACAATGGTGGCCGGCACCGTGTAAAGGACACTGAAGATGCCTATCCTCACCATGAGCTTCTCCAGCTTCTCTGTCTTGGTGCCGTCATGCTTCATGATGGTCCGGATCCTGAAGAGGGACACGAAGCCAGCCAGCAGGAAGGAGGTGCCAATGAACAGGTAGACGAACAAGGGGGCCAGTACGAAGCCCCGTAGGGCATCCACATTGTTGATGCCCACAAAGCAGACACCACTGAGGACATCTCCGTCCACCTGCCCCAGGGCCAGGATGGTGATGGTCTTGATGGCTGGCACAGCCCAGGCGGCCAGGTGGAAGTATTGGGAGTTGGCCTCAATGGCCTCATGGCCCCACTTCATGCCGGCAGCCAGGAACCAGGTGAGCGAGAGGATGACCCACCAGATGGAGCTGGCCATGCCGAAGAAGTAGAGCATCATGAAGAGGATGGTGCAGCCCTCCCGCTTCGTGCCCTGTGCCACAGTTCGGGAGCCGTCCTCGGCAAAGCGCTCGTTGCAGACCACTTTCTCCTCCAGAAGGAAGCCGGCGATGTAGGCCACAGCCACTGCCGTGTAGCAGCCCGAGAGGAAAATGATGGGCCGCTCAGGGTAGCTGAACCGCTTCATGTCCACCAGGTAGGTGAGGACGGTGAAGAGGGTAGAGGCGCAGCAGAGCACAGACCAGATGCCGATCCAGGTGCGGGAGAAGCGCAGCTCCTCTGGCCCGAAGTACATGAGACCGTAGAGTCGGCCGGGCTCGCAGGGCGCCCCGCAGTCCTTCTCCCCCAGGAAGCGGTAGTTCAGGTAGGAGGGTACCTTCAGTGCCCGCGGGCAGGAGAAGCGCCCCCGGGGCTCGCCGGGCCCCGCACCCCCGGTGCCGCCGCCGGTGCCCCCTCGGTGAGGGTTGCTGGTCCAGCTCTCGGGGCGCAGGGCGGGCGTGGGGGTTCCGCGCTCGGAGGCGTTCTGCCCCACGCAGAGCTCGCCGGCCCCGTGCACCGGGAACTTCTCGCAGCGCAGCGTGTCGGGCCACTGGAAGCCGAACTTGTTCATGAGGGCCTCGCAGCCCTGGCGGGCCCGCTCGCAGAGGGAGCGGCAGGGCGGTAGGGCCTGCTCCAGCACGGTGCACACCGGAGCGTACATGGAGCAGAGGAAGAACTTGAGCTCGGCCGAGCACTGCACCTTCACCAGCGGGTAGAACTGGTGCACCTCCAGTCCCGCGTCCTCCTGGTTGGTGTGGCCCAGCAGGTTGGGCATGATGGTCTGGTTGTAGGCGATGTCTGTGCAAAGCGGGATGGAGATTGGCTGGCAGTAGCCGTGGTCCGGGATGGAGATACCCCGCTCACCGTTGTCCTGCGGAGCCGGCGGCTGGCCCCCGGCCGGCAGCACCGCCGCCCACAGCACCAGCAGCACCGGCAGCGGCAGCCACGGGCACCGACCATCGGCCGCCCGCCGCCCTTCGCCTACTGCCCCGCCGCCGCTCGCCGCCGGCCCGCGCCGCTCGGCCATGCTCAGTCGGTGCCGCCTGCCCGGTCGGGCTCCCGCCGTCCCACCACCGCTGCCGCTGCTGCTCCTCCCGGCCCGAACTTGCGACTCATGAAGGGAGCGGCGGGCAGAAGACGGGACAGCCCCGGCCGCCACTCGCGCGGCTGCGGCGCGCAGCTCTGCCCGCTTCGGCGGCAGCGCCCGCCGCGCCTCCGACTACCGCCACCGCCACCTCCGCCGCCGCCGCCGCCTGACCATTTGTGCCGGCCCCTCGAGCCCGCGCCCCTCGCTTCGCCGCGCCGCGCTCCCTCCGACCGGTTTCCAGGCGCCCCGCAGTCTGCCTTTCACCGGGAGGGAGGAGCCTTGAAACCGACGCCGAACTTTCCTGCGTAAGGGACCGTCTCCCAACGCCTCACCCGGAGGCGGGCGCAGGCGGGCGCGGGGCTGCCCCGCACCCTGCACAAAGGCGGCGGCGGTGGAGGAAGGGGAGAGATGGGGGAAGTGGGGCCCCGTGGCAGGGGGGCTGTGGTGCGGTGTCGGGGGGGGGGGGGGGGGGGCGTGCCTTTTCGGTCGGCACCGCGTGGGTCATGGCTGTCCCGGGGGGCGGGTTTGGGTTCCCCCGTGGTGACGATAGCTGAGGCCAGCGAAGTGCGCGTCCCAGCGGAGCTCACGGGTCTCCCCCGGCGGAAGAGCAGGGGGGTTCGTTGCGGTCCCGTTCGCAGTCGGGAAGGGCTGGGGCTTGGGAAGGGCGATGTTTGTCCCATAGCGAAGGGCAGGGTTGGCGGGGGGCGGGGAAGTCGGGCAAGGGGGTGCAGTGGGCAGCGGGGAGCATCTTCGCGGGACGGAGGTGCAGAGGGCAGGTTTACGGCAGTAAAATTGGGCGCGGGCAGGAGCGGCAGCGGTTTGAAGGCAGAGACCGCGATGGTACCTACCACTGACACACGCAACCGGTTATGTGCGAGTGGCCCAAACTCGCCTCCAGAGACGCCTGAAGTACCTCGCTACGGAGTTACTGTGGTATTTTATGTGCGACTGTCTCACATCTACAGCAGCAGCCTCAACAGGGCTTTCAGATTCCAGTTCCTCCCTCTGCCCAGTGGGCAGCTGTTCCAGCTGAATTCAGATGAATGCTTCATGACTTGTGAATACCTCCCATCAGGTTCTTGAAACGCTATATTCTGGGGAGGGGGTGAATGGGCACACAGTGACCGCCAGCAGTGGCCATCTCTGTGCATGTAAAGCCCCACTGCTCACACAGAGCGGAGGTCCTGTTGGTGCATTCCCAAAAGCATTGCTTGGAAAAATGATGGAGGCTGAATGGGGGGGATTTACTGTACTTGGTGCAATTCAGTAAGAATAACAAAGCTGTGCTCCTGGAGAGCAGGAGGAGGAGAATCCCACCACATTCTCCAAATGTGCAGTAACCAAGCCACTGCGACGTGCACCTGAATGTCCTCACATCTGTCTGAAACTTCTCTGGCCAGCTGCAGCATGCTCCCACCCTTTCCATGTTATTCCCTAATGAGCTGCAAAATCCATTAGCAGTACAACAAGCCCAGCATTTCTTTCTGTCTGTCATAGGTGGCAAGGGTTAATAAAAGACATCCGTATTTCTTGGATAGCTACAGATAAAATTTGGACCTTGCTATTTAGGCCACTTTCTTCCTCCCAGCAGTGCTGTCCCACATTCAAACTAATTAATAGCAAGATCTATGCTGTGTAACGATGGCAGGAGCAGGATCATGTTTAGAAATGGTACAATCTTAAATATGCCAATTGCTGATGTCCTCGTTTACTGAGGCTTATAGAGTTCTGTGAAGAACTCTTTTCTCAGAGGACTGCAGTTCAAAATGATATGCACAAATTATAATCTTTTCCCATCTTTTGAGGAAAAAAAAAGTGATTCCTTGCATATTGTGTTTACAGTTTTAAGTTACAGATTTTCTTCTTCAGATCTACTTCAGTAATTAAAATTACTAGCTCCTTTCTAGCACAAAACCTAATTTATATTCAGCCCTAAATTACAGTATTGTTTTCCTATTCATCCTAAAACAATTGAACACTGGATCTTTAGATAGGAACAAGTATTACACATGCTGTTTGTCATAGAAGATGAGAGTGAATTTCTAACTAGTCTCAGGAAGCATCCATGGCTTTCTGCCTGTGGTCTTCAGACCTGAGGATGCATCACACAACCCAGGAAAGGTAATTAAGACACCTAAGTCCATCATCAGTTGGCTGAAATTGAGTCTTTGGGGTCTGCATTTGAAGTATTTAGAAATACTTCCAAAACTGGGAAATACTGCAAAGTCACTGTTCTAAGCTGCTGTGTGCAAAAAGCCAGAAGATTGTTCTAGGAGAAAGATCAGTGTATACAGGACAAGGTTTGCATATGTCAATAAAAGCTATTTTCAGACCAACTGGTATAGAAGGAAAAGTAGACAGCTCTCTGGGCTATTTCTTTTGTTCTGAAGCAGTAACTACTAAAACTAAATGCAACTTGAGAATAACTACTTAGAGTTTAGATAAGGATGTATCAGTGAAACCAGCTCAGACAGAAAAACATGGGAATGGGAATGGAGGGAGTGTTTTGGGGGAAAGAATGAGGGCTGAGAGCTGGTCAGTTCAGGAAAGTTCCTAGGACTCACTGTTTTTAACTGTTTAATGATTTTTCACATAACAGAAGAAAATCCTTTGTGGAAAGAATCTTCCCAGAAGTACTTGTCCTACATCTCAAGCACCCCAAACCACAAAACTCATCATTAGAAGCATAATGCTCTGTGGTCCACAACACCAGATCAGTTAAAACTCTGCCTGAGCAAGAAATGCAAAATGTGTTGATGCCCATCTACAGCATTGAAACCACCTGCCATCAAACCACCATCATCCTCTGGTCTTACTTTGCAGTTTCAGGACTGTAATGTATTTCACCCTGTGCATGCTGCCTTCCTGGTAGCTTTGCTGCTGAAAATGACTACACAGCACCAGCACGAACTTCCAGAGACCCTGTTCACAGACCAAAATACTGTGCTGTTGTAAGGGAGTGTTTCTCATAAAACAGAACATTCTCACTCTCTCCTTTCAGACCTGATCCTTAAGGGAAACTACAGAACTTGTCCCACAGAAGCAAGGATGGAAACTAGATCTCCTAACTCCACCCAACACCCCAAACCTGGGACGCAATAGAGATGCTGATCTGATAGTACATTATCATTTCCTTCTGCTTCCCCCACCCCTCTCCCCGCTTATCTCTCTACAGATCAACAGTCTTTTTGCTTAGCTAGTAAATGCCCCCCTTTCTCCCATCCTTAACGTTATTAACATCATTAATATCCTCTCTGTTGTAAAGCTACAATCTTCTTCCTTTCCAAGGTGTCTTAATAAGTATATTAGTAAATGTTAAGCAGCTGTTCTTAGCTGAAATCTGCCATTTCTAACCCAAATAAAAGTTTATATGACCAAAAGTTTGTCTCATTTTTCCACCTATATATCTTGGTCTAATAAAAAATAATGCTTCCCAGGGTAACCCCAGTACTGCACATCATATCCACAAGAGACTGCCACTGCCTTGTTCTTTTAATGAATCCTTAGATATCTGCTACAGGTGACTTGGAGAGAGGAGACTGGACTGGATGCCACCTTTGCTTGGGTCAGTACAACAGTAATCATGTTCTTACAGTGTGTTCTTTAAAATACAGGCACTCTTCCTTGCCAGGGAAATACAATTTTGCATTCTAAAAGAAACCAAAATTTGAGCATTAAAATAGTACCCTAAAAGGAATTTCAGTTCTACTTCAAAACTATGTGCTCATATTACTTGTTACAATAGCCACTCTGGCAGGTGGAAGAGTTTTGTCCTCGTGTGTTATATCCCAGTAGCATCCTTACTCTGCTGTTGTCCTCAGGGTGCTGTTTTGTACTGATTTTACTTGTTACAGGAAATGGGGGACACAAATCTTCAGCCAAAAAAGATTTGCAGCTCTCTAAATCTTTAATTTTGGAAAGAAACAAAGCAGAAAGTAGTTACAGTATTTTCTTATTTTCCTATAAGTGACTGGCAGAAATAGGTTAGAATGAATGCTTCCTTTCCACAACACTTAGGGAAAACTTGTTTCTCTAGAAGGGCTCCTGTACACTACAAACTATATTTGTAGCAGGGCTAGTGACCACCCAGACGAATAAAATCTGAACGCAGGTAATAACATAAATGTATGTTTGTCCATCAAATTAAAGCAAAAGTTATGCTCAGATAATGAGCTTTTTAGTTGAGTCAAGATTTCATTACTTAAATGTCAAATAAGGATATAAAAGTAAGATCATAACAGTGGGACAAGTTAAAAGTTGTTTTTTTCTCATGTTGAGCATGAGTCTTGGCTGATAGTTAATATTTTTGGGGGGCAGGGACATTAGTTCTGTATGGAAAGAAAGGATTTTCGGTAGCTCAGTAGAGGGAGGGATTCAAATATGTATATTGAACCTGTGGTGGTCAGCAGTGTATATACTAAATTCATGAAGTCTCTTGGAGTGGAGGATTCCAGATGAGACAGTACAGGTCCACAGCTCAGGTGGGCTGGCTCTCCCTGCTGGCAGTACACATCAACAAGTGATGCTTGTTGAAAAATCAGTACAAAGAGTGTAAAAGCAGTGAAATGAAGAAGAGGTGATTACAGTGTTGTATACCTTAAATTTTAAGGTGAAATAAGGTATCCCCTTACACTGCCAAATTAAAGCTACACACAGGTCTACAGACCAAAATTCTGGAAAGAAGGTGTCTGGACAAGACTCCTGAGCAGCTTTTACAGTTGCACAGTACTATATTTTTCACTTTGCAACATGCCAATGACACAGCCATCTGCCCCAGGGCCATGGGCCATAGCATCTCATGGATTTAGTCCTGCCATAAGAAAAAAATCCTTAAAATTTAAAAGCCTATCTTGGACATTGACTGTTTCTTGGAACACCTAGAAGACTCTTGGAAGTATGTCTACGCTGGCAAAAATAACAAACACATGCAGTGACTGGCAAAGAAAATCAGTAGGAGCTGACCATGAACCTTAGGTGATGGTGCAGTCAACAGCCAGAGTATTTTCTGCAGTGAAGGATCTCAAGGCTGTATAGCCAAGTGCTCAGAAAGTCATTGCAGACTCATAGAATCCTAGAATGGTTTGGGTTGGAAGAGAGCTTAAAGATCACCGGGGTCCAACTTCCCTGCCATGGGCAGGGACACCTTCCACTAGACCAGGTTTCT